TTAAGAGCTCACAAGGGATTTGGGGGCCTTTGAGGTGTTGGGCCTTGGGGATCTGTAGAATACATTAACGAAGAGTTGTCAAATCATTGCTTTTTTTGCCTTTTTTTTTTTTTTAGACACACATTGCAGTCCCAGAAACTGCTGTGTTGCAGTCAGTTGCCAATCTCGACAAACTTGTAGCTGTTATTGAATGCCAGCAACCAGAAGCAGATCTTTACAGGTTTCTGTTTTTTATTACTGTCCTTTTAAAAAAAAAGAATTTGGAAAAAGAAGTTATGGCTATTAAAAATTAGGCCGAAACTGCTCTTGGAAATTCTTGTGATGGAGTCATGAACTTAAATGCCTTATGTGCCTTAGAGAAAACAAGGGCATGACTTACTGGGAATGCTCTATTAATTTCATTTGGGAGCTTCCCTGAGTTTGGAAAATTCTCCCAATGTTCAAGCATTCAGTCCCCACTTCCTAGTTAAAAAAAACAGGATGAAGCATTTGATTCTCTGTCATCCTAACACTGAGAGTTCAGCCAACAGCTCTTCAAGACAATGCAGATTTGCTATAGAAAGCTGTAACAGGTAGTCCTCGACTTACAACCTTTCACTTTGTGACCGTTCGAAGATACAATGACACTGAAAAAAGTGACTTAGGTCCATATTTCAAACTTACAGTCATTGCAGCATCCTCACAATCATGTGATCAAAATTTGGATGCCCAGATTTATGACAGTTGACGCGTCCCAGGATCATGTTGATCACCTTTTGCGATCTTTTGACAAGCCAATTCAATGGGGAAGCCAGTTTCACTTAACAACTGTGTTACTAATTTAACAGCTGCAATGATTTGCTTAACACTAGCAAAAAAGGTCACAAAATCAGGCAGAATTCACTTAACAATTGTCTTGCTTAGCAACAGAAACTTTGGGTACAATCGAGAGACTACCTGTATTATTTTATATTTTATATCTAAACATAAGGAAAGATCCTATGTTAAATTGTTGTATTGAAATGGAAGAAAGTTAAAAGAATGTGGCTTTGAATTTAACTAACCAGGAAGCCTCCACCTGTGGTTTGTTTAGCACTTATGTCTGAACTGGGATTTCTGATTGTTGCTTCCTGGTTTGTTCTTGGCTTCAGATTCCTGGCTTTGTTGATCATGGCATGCCAGGAATTGGGCTTACCATTACATGCAAACCAGGTCAGTTTCTTTAACTCATCTCCTACGCTGTTAATGGTCAGGATTTAATAGCATTTTGAAAAATTAATGTGTCCTTGCATTTATTTATTTTTGAATCCTAACACATTCAAATTGTTTTGTAGATTTGTTGGGCGTATAACCATAAGTCATCAAATTGAGGAAATAGTACGGTAAGCCAAATGCCTTTACTTTTGGTGAATGTGATTTGTGATCAATTCTATATCCAGGCAATCCAATGAATGAAATGAAATAAAATGCATTTGTAAGCATCAGGCACAGGGAAGATTAAGCACACTGACCAGATGTTCCTACACTACTTTTGTGATCCTTCTGCTTCCTTGTGTTTTTGTTGCCCTGTTCTGTTAATCTAGGTTGTTGGGTTTTTTGCTAGAATGCTTTTAAAGAACTACTTCTGCCTAAATAATAAGTTGTAGTGGAAATATCTTAAACTGTGAGGAGTACAAGCTATTGCAAGCTATTGTAATTTATGTTTACAAGCTATTATTCCTTCCTGGTTTGGGTGATGCTTTGAACTGCCAGTTACTAGTTTGACCAGTTTGGACTAATTCATACAGCAAGTTGTTGTTGTTGTTGTTGTTGTTGTTATATCAAAATAACAGTAAAAACTAGTTTTCTTTATAATAGTACATTCTGGATTGGTATAGACCAGTCCAGGCTTATGTACCTGTTAAACGTGATATTTCTTCTAATAATTACATAAACATTTCAAGCCACAATAGATGAATGGTGCCCAACAGGTTTGTCTTAAAATTGAACATTCGGTCAGCATGGCAGACAATTTTATTTGATTCAGGGTCTTTTCTCATTGACCCTTTGTAAACATCTCTATAAATACCATAAGAATTAATCTGGTCAGAGGGTTCTAGTCGTTGTAGAAAACCTTAAGGGAAATAGGTGGAGTTGAAATTATCACCGAGAACAACAAAGCAGTTCATAAATCAAGTATCTTCTCTGTAAAGGGGAATTCAAATATCGCTTGCTTGTGGGATGAGGGAGTTGTACTTACGTGGCATATTCAGATGAATCCAGAACTCCTTGGAGAAGGAGTTGTGGTGAAAAACAGCCAAGCAAGCAGTAGCTAAGCAACATGAATAACAATATCAAATGTCCTGAAACACTAAAGGGATTTTTGAATTATGTGTAAAATGTTTAACTTTGATTGTTGTTGTTTAGTTTCATTCTTAAATAGCACAACAGAATTTTTTTTATTTTTTTTTTAAGAAACCTTGGCAGCCTTACTGGACTGAAAAAAAGGACTTGTATAGCATCTGTTGTGTCTTATGACCTGGTGATGCCTCCATGAAGTTCACAAATAGAATGAGATGGGTCATTACATGACACACTGTTCACGGTGTCTCTAGACTATACATGTAGATTAATTAAGTGTCATTGACACCATTCTACGAATTTATTTCTTCCTTTTTAGGAAGTTGCCTACTGATAGGCCCAATAAAATTGCTACATTCTAGGGAATTGAGGGGTAGAGCAGAGCTGGGGAACTTTATGACTTGTGGACTCCCAATTCCCAGCATTCCTTAGCTAGCATGGCTGTTTCAAACTGCCCTGCTCAGTGTGTGTGTGTGTGTGCGCACCTTCAAGTCAGTTTTTGATGCCTGATGATTTGCCTGGACTAGTCCCTGCAGTTTTCTTGGCCAGACTTTCAGAAGCGGTTTGCCATTGCCTTCTTCCCAGGGCTGAGAAACAGGGACTGGCTCACTTTAACCAACAATGTGAACAAACAATGATCTTCCTTTTGCAGACCACTGGGACCCGAAAGTCTTCTACTTCGTGGAGCAAGGTTGAAAAACACTAAAGAAATTTTTGGTATGTGACATACAGGTTTCACTAACTTGGTGTTAATATTTCTTGAATGGATGAAATTGCATAGCATCCTTTTAGAGTTAGCTATCCCTGCCATATCATCCAAGTTAGGATATTTTTCCTAATTAAGAGGAAGAGTGTCATGTTGATTGTAATAACTTTCACCTAGAAATGCAGGTAGTCTTCAACTTGCAACAGTATCCATTCAAAATTACAACAGCATTGAAAAAAGTGACTTAGGACAGTTTTAACACTTACGATCATTGAAGCATCCCCATCATCACATGATCAAAATTTAAACACTTGGCAACTGACTCATATTTATGACGGTTGCAGTGACCCAGGGTCACATGATCCCCTATTGCGACCTTTTGACAAGCTGTCAATGGGGAAGCCAGACTCACTTAACAACTGCAATGATTCACTTAACAAATGTGGCAAGAAAAGTTGTAAAATGAGGTAAAACTCACTTAACAAATATCTCAGCAACATAAAATGTGGGCTCAATTGTGGTCATAAGTGATAGACTAGCTGTAGTTGATTCTGGTGCAACCAGAAAAACCTGGATTCTATCTCTGTCCTTCATTCACCTTTTCAACTCCTATTGGTGCTTTCAATCCCAGACCACTTAAACTTTCTGCTGTAAAAGTTTTTATCTGTTGCCTCCTGATCCACTTGATTTGGTTAGAATATCGTTCCAGTTTTAAAATCTGAAAATAAAACCTCATCTATGTATATAAAAATGGCTGTGTGTGTGTATGTTCCAGCATAACTCTGGAATGCCAATTTCAACTAAACCTGATACACAGATGATTTAATTTCTGGAAAAAAATACTATGGGGGTAAGACACCCCTAACACTCCCCGGGGTGTGTGTTCTGTTAAGATACAACCTGTTGTGCCTTCAAATGGCTTCTACTGTACAGCATAGTGCAGTTGCCGTGGTAATGGCTTCACAGTACTCCACAAGGGGGCTCCCTCTGGTAAGGGGAAAAATCCAACATTAGAAATTACGTTTGGTCTGGACATTTTGCCCCTATAAATAAATGCCCGGGCAACGCCAGGCTATCAGCTAGTCATTTTAAAAAATCACAGCGTGAATTTTTTTAAAAAACTGTCACTGCAATCATAGAGTGGATTTGGAAACCCAACAGTGTGACCAGCCAGAAATTGAAGGAAGCCATCTGTGTCTGGCTCCTCGAAAGAAAGGGAAGTGAACAAGCCTCAGGTATTAACACAGTCTTGCTGCCATGCTGAATGTTCTTTTACTTTTTTATAGGTGTTGCTGTGTATACAGGAATGGAGTCAAAGATGGCATTGAATTATAAGAGCAAATCACAGAAACGATCAGCAGTAGAGAAGTACGTGGTTGGCAGTATTTTGGTCCATTAAAGATTAATGTATTAACTAAAACTGTAAAACAAGAGTAATTCAGAGTAAGGGTAGCATAGGATACAAGGGAACAGTTCAGATATTTATTATGGTCATAGACTAGCAGGGTGGAATACAAACAATAATTTTAAAAGCTAAACTAAACAATACAAAATATACTGTTAAAAACAAAGGAATATGTTTTTTAAAAAAATTTGAACATCTCTGTGCTTGAACCATTTGCTAAGTATTTATTATCAGGCTAATAAATGTTCACATGTTCTAGTTTAGCAAAATTAATATTTGCTTTTGGAATATTCAAACATATTGAATGTGGACTTTGTTCTTCAAGATAACTTGGAAATAAATCAGCAGGTGATATGGGATGTAGTCAAATTAAACCCCCTTCTGATAGAGTTTTTTGAGAAATAATTTGATAGGCTATCAGCATGTGACAAAGCAGATCCCTGGTGATACTCAATCCATTCTGCATATCGGTTTGCCCTTGAGTGTTTTATTTTGCTTCACTTCTTCTTATTTTTTAGTTTTAATTGTTTTATTAGCATAATATATAAAAATTCCATTTCAATCGAGCAGTGTGTTGTCTGGGTACAATTATTTTTAGGCAATCATAATCAGAGTGTTTACAATAACATGTATCACAATAAAGTTAATACTGTAGTGACAATAATATTTTGTTTGTCCATTTTAACAAATTACCATTTTACCGGTAACATTTATCCTTTTTATGTCCATTTCTTTCTAACTCCTGTTGTTATTGTCTAGCCATCCATGTCTTAGTTTCTTCTTTATCTTTGATAGTAAGTGTTAGTCTATCCATTTCTGCACATTCTAATATTTTCTTAATTATATCTGTCGGAATCTCATCACACTACTTTGCTTCACTTCTAATGAAGTGGTAATTTGAGCTCAGTGGAAAAGGGATGAGACAGATATATAGCAAATAAGAACCCTGTTCCGGGTTAAACTTTTTTGTTCACAAACAGTAACTACTTTTGGAAGAAACATAACTGGTTTGGTAGTCCTTAAATGACAAAAAGATAATCCTTGACTTACGACCAAGCGTTCAGCATATTTCAAAGTTACAACATACCCCAAAGTACCTTTTCCCCAAATCTTGTCCTACCATTTCTTGAAACACGAAACTTCTCGTGATTTTCCATCTTCTGCCTTTAATAGAGAACTTTTTTTTTCTTCTGTTTGCAACCATGGGATTAGACAGAAAAAGCAGAGCTGGTGGTTTTCAAGAAAAGATGGGACAACCATCGGTCCAGGATAGTAGGAGGACTCCTACACCAGGAAGCGGTTTGAACTAGATCACCTCTAATGTCATCTCCAGCCATATGATTGTACAAAACATTTCCTTTTTGGATCTCTACCCTCCCCCATACGCTAAGTTCAAATTGGCTGAATAAAACCCAAAGATTTTAGAATTATTGTTGCTGTAGTTTTTTGAAGTAATGTGCAAATATCTTTGAATTGTCCAGAGCTCCCTTTGTCTTCAATGCTCATCTATTTTCCCCCCATAGGACAATTTTAATTCAGTGGCATTTAGGTATTAAATTGTCTCTCACTTTTGCCCTCCAGGTCTATGAATTCTTTTTTGATTATCTACCTAATAATCCTCCTTTGTGAAGCTGTCATAAGTACAATACTGAAGTATGCCTGGCAGTCTGAAGAGAAGTGGAATGAACCTTGGTATAACCAACAAACTGATCGTGAAAGAAACAGCAGTAAGGTAAAATGTAAATGATATGCTTGATTTAGGTGTTTTCCCTCATTTTGATAGCATAATGTGAAAGTTTCAATTTGAGTAATAAAAATAACTAAAGGGAAACAAGAATTAGCTTTTAATTATTGATATATGTGACTAACTCATCTACTTAAAGGGATGTTGTTAAAAAAACCTCATCCTTAGAAGTTGTTTCTTACGTTCTCGTGCCAATCAAGAAGAAGAAATAAAACTTCTATGCAAAGAAAACCCATCTTTATATATTAACTGGCAGTCTTATAGGAGAAAGTATATTTCTTCACATGTCACATTAGGTCAAACTGAGGTTAGATTTAGTATGTTATTTGAATCCAGGCTCGGACTGAAACTACAATGAAGGCCTCCGTTCCTTCCTTCAGCTATAACACCATTTGCCAATGGAATGAGTGGTTTTTATATACAGGTAGTCCTCGACTTACGGCCACATTGACCCCAAAAGTTGTGTTGCTAAGTGAGACATTTAACAAGTGAGTTTGCCTCATTTTATGACCTTCCTTGTCACACTTGTTAAGTGTCACTGCACTTGTTCAGTTAGTTACATGGTTGTTAAGTGAATCTGACTTCCCCATTGACTTTGCTTGTCAGAACATTATAAAAGGTGATCAAATGACCCCAGGACACTGCAACCATCAGTTGCCAAGTGTCTGAATTTTGATTACTTGATCATGGGGATATTGCTATGGTCATAAGTGTGAAAAACAGTCTTTTTTCAGGGCCATTATAACTTTGAAAGGTCACTAAATGAACTGTTGTAAATCAAGGACTACCTGTGGTAATTTGAGCTCAGTGGAAAAGGGATGAGACAGAAATATAACAAATAAGAATCTTGTTAAACTTATTTGATCACAAACAGTAAAGTAACTACTTTTGGAAGAAACATAACTTTGGTTTGGTAGTCCTTAGATGACAAAAAGATAGTCCTTGACTTACGACCAAGCGTCAAGCATGTTCCAAAGTTACAACATACCCCAAAGTACATACGATCTGGATTTGAAATGTTGGTAGCCATCTCTTCCCCCATAATCACATGATTGCATTTTGGGCATTGGGCAAACCAGCCCACATTTATGACAGTTTGTAGTATCCCAAAGATACATGATTGTGATTTACAGTCTTTGCCATAACCAGCGTTTACTTCCAGTTTAACAACTGTGGCATTTGCGTAATGACTTGATTTGTTTAACAACCATTGTGACTTAATTGCCACAAAAAGTCATAAATCCGGTCAGTCACAGGATGACCTACTTAATGACCAGCACAACAATTTTTGGCTCAATTATGTTTGTAAATCAAGGACTACCTGTGGTTGGGCTATTACAAACTATGCCCTCACTATATCAATATCAGTGTTCTACATCATTGTATTTTGGTGGTATCTGCTATAATCTTGTTTTCAAATGCTTTCTGTCTTATTTTTTTTTTAAGTTTAATAATACTATTTCCTTTCTTCTTTTAGATCTTGAGGTTCATTTCAGATTTTCTTGCTTTCCTGGTACTTTACAACTTCATTATACCCATTTCACTTTATGTGACTGTGGAGATGCAGAAATTTCTTGGGTCTTTTTTTATTGGTTGGGACCTTGATCTCTATCATGAAGAAACAAATGAAAAAGCTCAAGTAAATACATCAGACCTGAATGAAGAACTGGGACAGGTATAAAATAATTCAAAGTAGTTTTTTAAACAAGAGGAACTAGATTTGATTTAATTAATTAAAAGTGATTAAATTCATACTTGTTCTTTTACACAGTTAATATTCCCAATGTATTTTATTATGTGTGTGTGTGTGTGTGTGTGTGTGTGTGTGTGTGTATGTATATGTATATATATATATGTGTGTGTGTGTGTGT